CCCTGACACAGCCTGGATCATTGTCCTCTGCTTGTCTCCACACACTCTTTGGAGTCTTCCCATGCTCCCTCAGGTATGTGTGTCCTGCCCCCCCCCCATTTGCTTTATCCAGGAATGGATTTTCTACAACAATGCTAGATTATGAGCTAGATTGAACAAAATCACTGCCATGTGATAGCTGACTGAAACCACAAGGGCCGTAAACATCTATGCCCTCCTCCAGAGGTTGTATCTGACATTCCTACAGCTTCTGAACACTCAGCTGAGGATGCTCTTTAATGAAGAGTCTCACAAATCTGTTCTGGATGACTTTGTGCTTGATACCCTTGAAAAGAAAATGTTGGTAGTTGCAATTTTTTATGTCAGATGACAGTTTATCAAACCAACATTTTCAGTAAAAGGTGCATACAAATTTATTTTGGTGCACAGAAGGACAATATGAAACCCAATTTTTTTAATAGAATATGAGGTTGCGTTAGGTAAGTCGATACCAAATATGTCAAGCTTCAAAATTGCGTGCATCTGTGAAACGGCAAAAAACTTTGGTACCCAAAATTGTCCATAGGGAAAAAGCATGTACAGGTCATCAATTTAGAGTTCATCGTAAATAATGGTCTGAGAATTGTTGCGTTCACTCCGGTGTGCACAGTGATACCTAACATGTGGCCCAAACTATACTTCATGTCCCTTCACTTGAAACATTTAGGAATTATACCTGCTGTATTACACTGTTGTATTGATGGGTTATTAGACATTTTCTGTCTTCTCTTCAGAATGAGTTTCCTATTAATATGTGGAGAACTCTTTAGCTTGCTGTGTATGCCATTTAATGGATGTCTATGGTGCTTCCCTGGAAAATATTTATTAATAATGTCACTAGCGGAAAAAAGTATTTTGGGACCCAGTTTAGTCACAAATCCTGGACTACCAAATCTTCCTAACCGGCAGACAATCCACTTCGCATAGAAGAGATACCCTACTTTCCAAAGTGGGAGATTGTCTGATGGCCTTTGCGGACAGCTGGATGGGTAAAAAAGAAAATGTGGTGTCTGGGGGCTACAAGCTAGAGTTTGCCTCTTGCCCACTTTGTCCTCCAATCTTCCTGTGTCTCCACACACTAACCTACCTCCTTGCTGCTCTGACAGCCCACCTAAGTCAAGGAGTTTTTGTTATTGTTCCAAAAAAAGTTTCAAGATATCTACTCAAACCTATTCACAGGTTCCCCCCCATAGCCCCATCCTGCATCTGAAGGCACACAATGTCTTCATTCAAGTTCAAGCATGGTAGGAGTTAAAGGGATTATACCTTTTTTGTTTGCCAGTGTCACACATTTGCCAGATAAACGTTTGCACCATTGCAGTAATGTGTTTTGTAGATTTGCAAGCAGCATGTAGTGCATTTATCATTTATTTAAACACATGTAGATTATTTGTTGTATTGACATCTGTATAGTCTGTCAGCCCTCTCATGTTGTGAATTTAAAAGAAGATATATTTAGAAAATATACATATTTGACAAATGCAGTATATAATCAAATTCATCTAATATGCCATCACATAAAATACAGTGTTACCTTTTTTAAATGACATAACACTTTGCTAAAGCTCTAAGCTGTAATCATAAACAGAGTTCCTGTGAGAGGCAGAAGTACCCCCTGGGGTACATGTAGCACTACATGAGAACTAGTGTCTAAATATAAACTGGCACTTTGAGGTCATTGAGGCTGTCACAGAAAAAACTTTAATCAGCTGTTTTATCAGATCCTATTGGTATATACAGGGCTTGAAAAATTTGGCGGTGTCTCACCAGTCAGTCAAAAATTTCACCAATTTTAATTTTTTTTTATGCTTTATTTTTTTATGATTTTTTAATTTTTATATTAATTTTTTTTTAACACAGCTTTATTGCTATTACATGGGGGGGCTAAGAAGCCCCCTATGGGATAGCTAATTTACATGACAGACTGTAAAGCTCCCGGCCGGCCGTGTAATTACAGCGGCCGGCCTGGAAGCTGCTCGTCGGGCTCCACTGTCTGCTCGTCACAGACGAGCAGACGAGTGGATTTTCGAGCCCTGGGTATATACTTGAGTATTTGTTTTCCGTTAACCTTGACTTTGATGGTAAAGGGTTTTGCTTTCTCTAACGCAGTGTCTTCACAGCCTGGTCCTCAGAATATACATTTATTGCATTTAGGCCACATTCACACGGGCATAGAAGCAACGCAAGTGCAGAATTTGCTGCTTAAAAAATGCATCTTTGTAGACGCATATGTGTTTATGCATACAAATGTATTAAAAACTTTTTTTTTTTGGCACCTGAAACTTTAGTCTTGTATGTGTAAAATAGGTAAGATTTGTAGCTCCGGACGCAGCACTTTCCATTTTTTTTTCTTGTTTTTTAACACAACGCAAAAACACTGCACACTGGTGTCTGTACCGCTCACACTGACTTGGCAAAAGTATACAGCGCTCCCGGCAGCGCAGTCCCAAATCTGAACACTGTGTTCTAAATCCTTTAGGGCTCTTTCACATATGAATTGAGCATTTAATCAAAGAGCAACGCTGATTAACACACCTATAGTGTTAACGAGACATTAGGGAGGAGTCAAAAACGCTTGTAAAATGCCCTGCAAGTAGGGGAGTGTGTTACGGGTGAAGTGATGTAGTAAAAAGGAAGTGACCAGCAGGAGTTGCAGTAGCTGGGCAGACTTGGGTCGTACAATTCTGGGTGTTGGTGTTGCTCTACTGCTTGAATTAGCTGTGCAACATTTATTTCTGACATATTTAGGGCTGCAACAACAATCGATAACGAGAATCGTTGACAACGATTCTCATCATCGATTTAGTTACTTTTTGATTAGTTGTTGCCGCTCCTCTGTTCTCCTCCCCGCTGATGCTGGCTGCAGTGGTCTGTGTCCCTTTCAATCCCCGCTGCTCTCCCCGCCTGTTTCGGAAGAGGCAGCGGGCATGCAGACCACTGCAGTCCGAACCAGCAGGAAGGAGAGACCGCTGTGACTCTGCAATCCCCCGCTGCCCCCCGTACCTCAGCAGCTGCTCCATCTCTCCTCTGTGTCGCCTCTGCCGCTAGAGGCCGAGAGCCATACCCAGCCTGCTATTGGATATTTTAAAATGCAATAGCAGGCTGGCTATTCTACCCGCCCACTGCCTGCTGTCAATCTGCAGTGGAGGACCTGATGGAGAACATGCGGTTAGAATCCTAACCGAATGTAATAATATCACATACCATTACATGCGGTATGCTGGCATTTACATGCAACTGCTGTCACCTGATCGTTAACTTGAATAGGTGACAGCTGCCACTTTTAATTGCCAGATTAGGGATTTCTGCTGCAGGAAAAGGCAAGTTCCTGATGCAGGAATCCCTAATTGCACCTAGAAATAGAGGTGTGAATGGAGCCTAATACACTTCTACTTCCCCCCGTACACGTAAAAAAAAATGCTACCCCATTACATATAAAATAATGCCTGACACACACACACACCTTACCAATCAATCCTTTCGGCCAGCGTTCACTGAAAGAGTGCCAGCGCAGAATCAGTTACACTGTCTGCATCCGACAGAGATGCAGACCGTGTAGCTGCTCCCGCAAGTCAGGTACGCGGTCCGTGACCGCGTACCTGACTTCTGAGTAGGCTGGGGGCCACATAGTACCGGTTAGCGGGCCGCAATTGGCCGGTACTTTGAGACCACTGCTTTAAGGCTTATCCTTTGTATGTGTAAAATTGTTTGATAAGCTGTGTCTTGGTTGTGAAGAGGTGTACAGCAGGGGTGCCCATTAGGTCGATCGTGATCTACCAGTAACTCTCAAAGCTGATGCTGGTAGATCACGAAGGGTGTGAATGGCGGCCCCTTTATTCCATTTTGGTATATTTATTTTCCTGTGCACGCATGGTTATCTATTAGCTTGAGTCTGCTGAGCCAAGCTCCCTGACACCTTTCTGGTGGTTGAAGTGCTATGTATTACATCAAAGAATATTAGTTTACACAGCCTGCTGCACTGCACTGTTTGCAAAATACAGCAAGGTTGAGCCAGGAGAGAGAGCGTGGAGAGACAGCCAGGGGACAGAGCCAGGGGAGAGAGCAAGGAGAGAGAGCCAGGAGAGGGAGCGCGAGGAGAGACAGCCAGGGGAAAGAGCAGGGAGAGAAAACGAGGAATGACCGCCAGGAGAGAGAGCGAGGAAAGATAGCCAGGAGAGAAAGAGCGTGGGAGGTTTTTTTTTTTCGTTGGTAGATCTCCTGTAGTTTGTCATTTTGAAAAGTAGATCTTAAAGGAGAACTATGGGGTTAAGGCTTTTCCCCATAGTTCTCAGGGTACCGGGAGGACACAAACTAGCGTCCTCCCGTCACCCTAGGCTCCGTATATATACTGAGAACGCCGCAGCTGAAGCGGATCCCGACAATTGTGCCGGGATCCGCCCAACTGCGTGACTGACAGCTGGCTCTGCCTATCTAGAGGCAGAGACCGTGAAGAGCACTCCTCATATTTCTCTAACACAAAAATTGTGGGCACCCCTGGTGTACAGTCCGGAGTTTGACTCGCTTTATATAACATAATTGTTTTTGTTTTTTTTTAAATAGTGGTAAATGCATTTATTTTGTTTTGTGTAAATGGTGTGTTTAAATATGCCTGTCTTAAAATATCATTTTCTATGTGACAGTTGATATATAACCCTTGTTGGATTAAAATAATGATACAGCACATTGCACTGTAGTACATAAGACCGTCAGACGCAACAGGTTGGGTGTTCTACACAGCAGTGTAGATTTAGGGATTTAGTAGTAATGCCCTTACTATTTTTAAAGACACTAACCTATTCTCTATATAATCTAACATTTAGAGGTAATTTTTTTTCCCTCTTCTTTGGCATCTATAACTTTCTTTTTAGACAAACATAATTTCATAAATGTTTCTCTAGCTAATAATGGTGTAAATGCACTTGTAACAATGCCTTGCTGTCATATTTCTCTCTCCTCCTCAGCTTGCTGAGACAGGATCAGGTATCAACTGCTTGGACTCAATGTGCTGCTACAACGGAGGGGAGACAGCGTGCGTGTCTATTAGAAGACTGCTGGAACGAGTGATGGGCCGCTGCACAGCACCACGGCTCGCCAGGTGTGGAACCTCTCTAAATACCCTTTGCTGCCAACGATTCTCCTATAAACTGGAAAATGATGAACCTGCAGCTTTAGATGACTAAGGGAAAAGCCTCTCTCTTATCTCTTATCTCTTTCTCTCTCTCTCGGGGCATAAATAAGAACCAAGGTGGAGCAACATTCATTGATGAACTTTTCTTTCCCTTATTTAATTTCCTACGTCTTCTGTATATTTTTATATGATGCATCTTTGTTGTATGTGTCTTATTTGTCTGGCTTTTCTCTCTTTTTCCTTTTGCTGGCATCTTGTCTACGTAATTCACTATAGGGTAACCTCTTTCTGTGACCATTTGATTTCTGGGATTTTTAATTTAACCTTTCGGGCATGTGCTTTTAAGTGATATAAAATGTCTTTTTCCGTACATGTCCCGATTTGAAGGTGGCTCATTTTCGGGACTTCCTTCCTTCCCAGAAATCATTTACCAAAAATATTTAACCCTGGGTTTATCTGCTGTCAAAGTCTTTTGTCTGTCGCCATTCTCTTTATAGTCTTGCAATGTTCTCTGTCCAGCTCATGCATAATGCTGATTTTATGTACACAGATGAAAGTTGTTCAGTTTCTTTTTGGTAAGCGTGTGTTCAGATGTTAGAAACACGCAAGTTATTTAGTTATGCCGTACACTTTTGCTCTGTTTTAGTGTTAAAGGCATATTTGTGTCTCTTAGTGTTCCTAGTGTTACATCAGAATTGAATATTTCCCAGCAGGAGTTATTCAGTTTCCTTTCTTATAAGTACTGTGGAGGAAGCCATTTTGTGACCTGACAAAAGTACACAAGTATGGATGGAGGCGTGAGGCCAGTCAGTGGTATTTGTTTCATCTCCAGTGCCACAGTGCACCAATTGAAACTCTTGAACCCAATACTTCTCTAATGCTCCTGCACCCTACAACCTGACCTGGGACGTGTGTCTGACAAACACACATGGGCTGTAAGATGCAGCGAATTTTGGAGGACGAAGGCCTCAGCACAAAAAGCTAACGTGTAATGTGGATTTGTGTACAAAGAGGTAAATCAAATATAATCCCTGTTTACCTAAAGCCACAAAAATACAAGTGGATCCTTTTTGACAAGTAATATATTTTACGGCAAGTCACCAAGATAATTTTGTAAATGGTTATTTCCTGATGTGATTATATCCCTTATTGAAGCATTCATTTTGCCATTGGTCACATGTTGCTTGTTGTCACGGTGGGACTTTCGGCAGTATGGAGTACTGTGTCTGTGTGAGCATTCCATAGACACCTGGGAACACCAATGGCTACCCATTAGCCACAGCCCTTTGCCGGAACTTCCTGCAAAGGGGAAAGTTGATTATCTCGTTACCCTGCCTTACAATATCCAGCTTGTCAGAAAGCAGAAAGTTAGAAAGTTGAATGTCTACTTTAACAATAGCGTCAGGCAACAAAATAGGCCCCCAAACTGTTCTTAAGAGGGGAGGACACTTCCATGCTAGCTCTGTTCTTTTTGTTTGTTTTAATGTATGTCTCAAATGGAGCAATATGCAAACTTCTCTTATTTTATATTTAGGACATAAATGGCAAAGTATGAAATACATATTTTTACTTTAAGTGTGTGTGTAGCTCAAAGCATCAATCAGAGTAAATATTTATAAAGACCATGTTATAAACAAATTGTAATTTTTTTAGCATTCTTATCAGATCTCCATTTTCATAAATAAATGCATCCTTTGCAAAATCACAAATGCTGTTTTTTGTTTTGCCAGCTGGGAATGCGGGACATGTAATCTTTCTTTCACCAATTGCTTCTTGGTTTCTGATGGGATTTTAGCAGCTTTGAACAAATTATGCTTGGTGCCTTATTAGCTTAAAACTCTGCTTCTTGAGTCTTTATTCTAAGCCACGCTATATTCTGTAATGATACTTCATTCTGGCAAGTGATGTTTTTCAAGCATTTCTAGAAATCTTTGTATTACAGTTTGTTGCCTTTACACAGACTGCCTTATTTAATAAGCTATTGTAAACAGATCAGTTAAAGGTGGCCACCCATGCATCAATATGATCATTCATTTGCTGCAACTATAATGGTTAAATTAAAGTGAATCTAAACCCAAAAAGCAACAATGTAATATACTGCAGCTTACCAATCCTTAAATGTGATGGCTGCATTGGTTTTCTTTTTTTAGGCTTTGATATCACCTTTTGATCTGGCCAGGTGATTTCTGTCTTTAGGGTGGCACCCTGGGACAGCAGCATTGTCAACCTGTATAGTGGATACTGTTAGATGCATTAGCACATTTAGTTGAACTTGAATAACAAATGACATGTGAAAGAGCGATGTGGGGACCCTCTAGAAAACACGGAATTGAGAAAAAATAAAATAAAGATCTGCATTAATGACGGCCTCCCACTGATAAAAAAGAAAAGAAAAAACTCAAGCTTTAATATCACTTTAAGGATTGGTAAACTACAATAGACTACATTTTTGGGGCTGGAACAGCTTTAAGTAAAAATTGTACTACAGACCTTTGATTGATTAACAAGCTCAGTCTCAATTAATTTAGACTCTGGCAAGTTGTTCATCCATGGTGGAATTTAGTCAATTGGTTCTGATTGATCTGCGTGTCTGTCAGAGAACCGATAGTTTTGATCATTTCTGAGCTTGTAATTTCAATTGATACTGTTTGATATTTTAATCAATGATGAATCGCTCGTTTGTGATCACTCTTGCATAGATCGATCTCAAATTGATATGTATGGCCACCTTAAGATATTTGATTGGCTGCTATGGGATATCTGTCACTAGTCATTGTGATTGGTACTACTTTTTGTAGAAAGCCAGTTCATCCTGAACTGATATTTATTTCAGTCTACTGGGCTAAGTCACCGGTTGGTTATATATCTGTAGGACTCAAGCCACAATATGTCACCACCATATCTTCTGGGTCTATTTCGGCTTACCTTGAAGTCTCTAGCTTTAGCAGGAGTGTTCACAGGCATTCCCACCCCTATTAGTCATCCCACAACATAAGGAATGGGGTCCCATATCTGAAGAAAATATCCTCTAAAGTAGTGCTAAGAGCAGAGTGCAGAAATCCAGAGCAGCAAGTCAGATTTTCAGCACTTAAAGTGACACTAAACTCAGGAGTCAAATCTTTAAAAACTGCATCTAAATGTCTTAGCTACAACCCCAATTCCAAAAAAGTTGGGATGCTGTGTAAAATCTATACAAAAACTCTGCTAATCTCATAAACCCATTTTTTATTCACAAGAGAAAATAGTAAACATATTAAATGTTTAAACTGAGAACATTTACCATTTTAAGAAAAAACAAAAAGGTTATTTTGAAATTGATGGCAGCAACACATCTCAAAAAAAAGATGGGACAGGGCCATGTTTACCACGTTGTAGCATCTCTTCTTTTAACAACACTGAGGAGATACATGCAGTACGTGATTTAACATTGTCCTGCTGAAATATGCAAGGCCTTTCCTGAAAGGGCATCGTCTGGATAGGAGCATATGCTGCTCTAAAACCTGGATATATCTTCCAGCATTGATGGTGCCTTTCCAGATATGCAAGCTGCCCATTCCATATGCACTAATGCACCCCCATACCATCATTTTAATGCAGTGCTGTCTGAGGGCATCCAATATTCGGCCTTGACCCTTTGCGCACAGAGGTTTCTCCAGATTCTATAAATCTTTTGATATTATGTACTGTAGATGATGATATATTTAAAGCCTTTGCAATTTTACGTTGAAGAACATTATCCTGAAATTGTTCGACAATCTGTAGACGCAGCTTTTCACAGATTGGTGGACCTCTGCCCATCCTTACTTCTGAGACATTCTGACTCTCTAAGGCTGGGCACACACCTTACAACCATCGCAAGACTTTTGTCTTGCAATGTTTGTAAGGTAATTTAAAAAACGTACGATCTGCCTATCTTGGACAGGCAGATCGTACTTGCGATGATCGCAATCCGCGCCCCCCTAAGGGGCGTGCTTCCGATGACCGCAATGCCGAACGGGCTGTGTGCGCTTGCGCACACCGGCCCCATCCGGCGTTTATCTTACGAACATGCTACACACCCGCCGAACATCGTACGATGCTCGGCGGGTTTTCAAACATGTTCGTAGGATAAAAGTCTTGCGACCTTACAGTAGTAGAGGTTGCACGGTTTCCACACACCTTATGATCGTACGATCGCAGGAAGTCCCGCGATTATCGTACGATTATCGTAAGATGTGTGGGGACCTTAAGAGTCTCTTTTTATACCCAATCATGTTACTGACCTGTTTCCAATGAACCTAATTAGTTGCAAAATGTTCTCCCAGCTCTTCCTCGTTAGTACAACTTTGCCAGCTTTTCGTTGCCCTGTCCCAACTTTTTTGAGACTTGTTGCTGCCATCAATTTCAAAAACCTTATTTTTTTCTTAAAATGGTACATTTAAACATTTGATACGTTTTCTAGTGTGAATAAAATATTGGTTTATGAGATTTGGAAACCATTGCATTCTGTTTTTTATGTAGATTTTACACAGCGTCCTGACTTTTGGAAATGGGGTTGTATTAACAATAATATAACTTATTTGTGTATCACTCCTAATCATCTCTGAATTGGGGCTGTCATTGTCCTTCCTTCTGGAGGGCGGCTACTTTAGTTCCCCATGGTCCCTGTGTGTGTTGTAAAGTAGCCACCGCTCCAAGCTCGCTCCCATGAGTGACTACAATATCCATACAAATAAGTAAACTAGACATGGGATTGTAGTCCATCGGGAGCGAGCTTGGAGTGGTGGCTGCTTTACAAACATGGGGACCATGGGGAACAAAAGTAGCCACCCTCCAGAAGGAAGGACAGTGTCAGCACAGATTCAAAGATAATTTGAGGATCTACCGCTGAGCGATACACATATAAGATACATTTTTGTTAATGGTTAAGATACTTGAATGAATTGTTAAGATTTAACTCCTGAGTTTAGTGTCACTTTAATGAATGTAATGTTTTGTGTACAGAAATGGACATAAAGGAAGGCAGTGGCTTAGAATAACAACTCATTGTTTAGCTGCGAAGCATCTTGTATGTTGGGTGTGATACATCTGGAGCTCTGGGTTCATTTGTTTCGGAAAGATCTTGATAAAAAGGTGTCAGATACCTGCATGGCTTATATAGATGGTAATCAGATGCCAATTGCAGACAGAGCTCTGCTTCATGATGTACACTTTCATTCTGGTGGTCTATGGTGTTTTATGAATTAATTTCAATATTCTCTGTGTCCTATGCACAAATAATCAGTCTTTTCTTTCCTAAACGGAGATGTGGGTTCTTTGCACTGCGATAATGAAATTGGTGATTGCTTTTTCCAGACAGTATTATAATCCATACTTTATCATTCGTTGACATGTTATTTAGCCAAGAACTGTCCTGTGGAAAACAGCTTGCTTCCCTTCTTGCAAAAGACACTTAAAGGAGATTTTCAGGTTAAAATAGAATGGTACTCCTGCTAGAGTTGCCTTAGTGCCACCTGTTGCACCACCTTCACTGGGACATTGAGGCATGAATAAAACCTTAAGTTAAGAGACATTGGAGGAGCACGGTTTTCTTTCAAAGCATGTAGTTCATCTGTGGCCAGGTTAAGATTCGACATGGGGAGCTTTATCACCTAGATCTACTACAGGAGTTCTGTTTTACATTCTGCCTGAAAATGCCCATTTAACTCTACTTTTCAAAGCACTTTGACTAATGTATGCGGTAATGTTTTACAGCTTTGGTCATGTGTAACTAAGGGTGCATTTGTAA